AAAAAAAAAAAAAAAAAAAAAAAAAACGAAAAGAAACCAAGTGTGCACAAAAAATAAATGCTTTGTGTGAACCTATAAGCGTTTACTTAATGAACTCTACAATCTTCTATTGGTCATTTTCTTGGGATATTTCCATATATCAAATTGAAGATAGTATTACTGCTCATCTTATTTGTTACTTCCTACTTTAATCTGTCTCCCAACTTTCTGCTTCAACTTCTGCAAAATTGTTGATCAAATTAAGCATTATAATTATTTTATTTTTATCAATGCCTGGTAATGTGGTCTTATCAGTATGTATGTATATTTGGATATATGAGAAGAAATATGGTTTCACAATCACCAATATTTCCTTATCATTTTCAATATATTTCTTTAGAGAAAAAAATAACTTTTTATTCCTAAATTACTTAAATAACCTAAATTCCTTTAACATGAGGATGGCTTTAAGTCTAGGAACAGTTGAATGAATAAGACACTTAGTATCATAGCAATGAAAAGTTTTTTTTAATTGGTTCGTTCATATATTATTTAACTTTAAAAATGGATCAACTATAATTTTCGTTCAATTAAAAAAAAAAACGGTGGTAGAGCTCTAGACTCGAGCACCTTTGATAACAAAATGGACAAATTTTGGTATATATCAAAGCATTACCAAAAGTGGCATGTCCAACAATGAAGCAATTTTCAAGAATCAAGTATCTCCTCGCCAACCACAACCCAAGTTGGTCTTCCCTAGATTGTCTTTGGAGATGCTCACCTTAGGTCATAAAGCTTGTGCTTAGATGCATTCACCAAGTCATTCAATGTGAGTTTAAACCACTCTTTGGCCTTTCAGCTTAGTTTGAATATCTCATGTTCTCATCATTCAACCAAAATGAACAGATTTTACTATGATAAGACCCGCCGATATCGAATTCTCTTGCACGATATACAGCCTCCGGTAGAATACAAGTACATCCTCGATCATCTCGGCTACGGAAGCTCGGAACACATCACATTGTAATTTAATCAAACTGAGACACTCAACTTGGTTGGATAGTTCATTAGCTGACCACTTTCAAGCATGCTTGAATAGTTTCATGCTGAGCCAATGGAAATAAACGGCAGCATAGAGGATAGGTAATGTCAAGGGCACCAGGAGACAGTAATACCTAGTAAAGAACAGGAAATACATTACAAATAGAGGTCTCGTTGTTATCATATTACTTCCCTTGAAATTGTAATAGTTTTGATTTAAGCAATCTTCTCAAGAGATTAAAGGCACTATCACCAAATCAAATTTCATTAAAATACTCTATGAACAAGTAATTGGCTTGCTTCAAAGGCATGCTAACATTCAGATTCATACATACTCATTTCCTAATATGTATAACATCATATGAATGACCTAAAAGACGTATCCGTTCTTCATCCACTACCATCCCCCACCTTTTTCTTTCTTCTCCCTACCATTTATACTCGTTCCTATCTACCTCTCAATCTTCCACAATCCTTCATCTCTCAATCGCGTTCTCGCAGATCAAGTTTTGTTCAATTTGTTTTCTTCAATTCAACCAATTAAAATGAGATTAAGATTGAATTTCGAATCCTGTTTTTTCTAACTGAACACCGGAATCATTTCAAAGCCTTCCAAATTCCATGTTTCCACATCACAAATAAAGGAATTCTCCAAAATCAACAGAAAAACTTACCAGTCGTTCTGAATAGCAGATAAGAAGGCATTGTCCGAAGGCGAAAGAAGCTTAGAAATGATCGCGGCATAGAGAAATAGCAGAAGGAAAACGAAGCTGACGACGATGAACACAAATCCTTGCCACCGATAACCCGCTTCTTCTCTGGAAACGAACGATCTGATCGAACTCATCTCTTCCAACGCCCACATTGGATCCAACGGCGGAAGTAAAGAGCATTCTAGCCGAAAGACAAAACAGATAATGGGCCTTGACGACCCATTAGGTCCACTTAGAGTATGTTTCAAAAGCCCAAATATCGGCCCATCAACATACCAAAGCCCACGGTTCTGATTGCACACCCATGGCCCTGGCCCGATATATTTTCCTAATAACGTAAAACAATATTGTAATATTCCGCTTAATTGTTGTTTTTCTTTCCAAAATTATTTTTATTTTATTATTCAACTTACAAAATATTTCTTTTAATTATTTAATGTAAAAAAAAAAAACATAATTATTTTGGTTTCATTATATTCATGTATTGAAGTCACATAAATTAATTTACACGTTAAATAAATATACCATAAAATTTTGTTTATTTTATAAACAGGGTTAAAACTTAAATCGATGTTAATGGAACTAAACATATATATATATATATATTAAAGGTGACAAAAATATTTTTCATTATTATAATGTCACGTTGAAATTTATTCAAACTATTATATTAATTTTTTAAAGCTAAAATAAAATAAATTTTGAATCGTAAGAGATATATTTTCAACCTCACTCCTTTTCAATAATAAAGAGAAAAAGAAAACTTAACAATAAAAAAAAAAAAAAAACAAAAACAAAAGCCCTACTTACTTGTCCCCCTTGACTCTACTTCTTATGTCTAAAATTTTAAAATATAAAATAAAATATTTGTTCTCGAGGTTAGAGATTCAAACCTCTTACCCCACATATTTTTAAGCTGAAAAAATGAACGAACCACGTGTCTGAGTATATCCTATCCATTTGGTACCATCGAATTAGGTTTTAAATTTGCAACGAGTGAATTAATTAAATTGCAACGTGGCCAAAATAACTTTCTAGAGTGTGGAATTAAAATTTAGAGCTAATCAAATTAGTTGAAATTTATTTTCATTAATTGAGAAAGAAAGCCAGCCATTTTTTTCTTTCAATAATAAAGACTTCTTTATAAGTATATGGTTGGCTGTTTATCAACTATATTCAAACCTTTAATATAATATTAATAAGGTCGACGATAATCAGAAGATATTTATTCTAGTTAGAAGTTCAAATTTTATCTTCTACATTTATTACCGTAAAAAAAATGATATTTTTAAGAGATTAATTTAAATCGTTAAAGTCAATTGAAATTATTTATGTATTGATTGATGTGTTTAAATGGGTTATCAACTATTGTTGATATGAATCAAAATTATAAAGTTTATTATGATATAAGTTTTATTTTATTTGATAAATTTTAAACTATAGAAAAAATATTTATTCAAGAAAAATAATTATAAGGTTGAAGTAATTGCCTTGATAATTTCTTTTAAAACTTTATTTATTATTTTAAAACTTTATTTATTATTTTAATTTTATAATTTTTTTAATGGATATTTGAAGGGGAGTGAGAACAATCTGTCAATGGTAACCACAAATTTCTTTTAGTGGACATTTAGGTATTTCTTTGATAGAAAATGTCAAAAGAATATTATAAATTAATAAAATTGAGCTCTTAAATTGAAACTTTTATCACACTTAAACATGATGTTTCAAAGATTTCAAACCTGTCTATTTCAGTTATTAATGATTTGCCTACCTAATAAGTTAATTGAGTTATTATAATTTTTTTTTTTTTTTGCCTGAAAAATTTGAATTTCTATTAACTAAAATATTTGATCGTTAAAATATAAAATTATATTTACAAATAATTTGATTTTTTTTTCATATTTGGAATTATTTGTGATATTCCACAATTTATATATAATAATAAACCTTCTTTTGAAATTTAAGGGAAAATTTCACTCTCCTATTAAGAGTTAAAATATATAAGAATAATAATAATAATAATTCATTAAAAAAAAAAAAACATGTTTTTTTTTTTTTTTTTTTTTTTTTTTTTTTTTTTTTTTTTTTTTTTAGGGTGCAAGAAGTTTTTCNCTGTTTAACAAATTAAATTGTAGAAATAAAAAAAAAGGAAATTAAATTTAAGAGGTTCTTCATTAAATATCCCATTTTAATTTATTTGTATTTTCTCTCTCATCATTAATCTGGTGTGCACCTCCATTTGTGGGTGCATTTATAGAGCAGCAGTTGTAGTTAGTTGTGGATTCATTTAAAACCCAATAATAAATGATAAAAATATGTAAATTTCATAAATTAATTTATTTTTTATAATAATAATAATAATAATAAATGTAAATTATTATCCTCTTCCATATATCTCCCTCTTTCTCCCTATCCTCCATTCTTCTCTGCCTCATTGATCCCCATGGAAATTGAGGACGACGGAGGAACCCACAGCCATGCCGCCGCCGCCGCCACCGAGGGGCAGAGACGGGGAGAACAGCGAGGGACTTACCTTGTGTGGGAGGATCTCACGGTGGTGCTTCCGAATTTCCGAGATGGGCCCACCAAAAGACTCCTCAATGGCCTCCGTGGCTACGCCGAGCCCGGCCGGATCATGGCCATTATGGGCCCTTCCGGCTCCGGCAAATCCACCCTTCTTGATACTCTCGCAGGTCTCGCTTCTCTCTCTACAATATTATTTTATTGAAATTAAAAAAAAAAAAAAAATATATATATATATATATATATATATTAATATTTGAATTAACCTTTTCTTAAGTGATATATATTAATTTCAGCAGTCAACAGTAAGCACTAAATGTAATTTCACACTAATATATATATATATATATATATTTATTTATTTTTCTTAATTTTGGCGTGGACATTTATTTATAATTTACAAAGACTGTTTTTGTTCTTGATATTATAAAAGTTTCAATTATAACAAAAATTTCTAATAAAAAAGTAAGTGGAAGAAAATTGAATAAGATTATAATTTAAAAAACATTGATGGCTAAATTGAAATAAGTTATGTAGGAGTATTATTATTTATTTATTTATTATTATTATTATTGCTTTTATTTTTATATAATATACTTCGTCTATGCTTTCTTGCTTTATCATTCACTTTTTGTCTATGTTTTAAAAGAACAAAGTCAAATTTTAGAAACTATATAGCAAAAAAAGTTCCAAAAATATATATATATATTTATGAATTTTATATTTTGTTTAAAAAAAATATTTAATAATAACCTTAATAGAAAAAAAATTAGTTTACATTAAATGTTTTCGAGTAAATTTAGGAACAGTATTATTATCCTTAATCTTTATAAATCATCCTTAATGAGATTTGATTTTACAAGACTCCTAATTGAACCCCAAAAGAATTGATATAAAGAATCAATGGAGTTTAATTCAGAAGCAACCTCCACTATTATTTTGGAGAAATTTTCTGCCAATGAATCTGTAAGAGAAAGATCAATGTTTAAGACATCAATTGTAAAAAAATTAATATTTGTGGGTTCGTTTATGAATCAGGAAGACTCTCCAAGAATGTGGTAATGACTGGAAACATTTTTCTCAATGGAAAGAAGAGGAAGTTCGGATATGGCGACATTGTAAACACAAACTCTCTCTCTTTCTTGAAGATCAAACTCCACCATGTATCAACCAAGAAATTCATGATTTCCTTCTTAATTTGCAGGCGTATGTGACCCAAGAAGATATATTATTGGGAACTCTGACTGTGAGAGAAACCATTAGCTACTCAGCCCAGCTGCGGCTTCCGAGTTCTACGACCAAAGATGAGGTTGATAACATCGTCCAGGCAACCATTTTGGAAATGGGTCTTCAAGATTGTGCCGATCGAATGATTGGGAACTGGCATCTTCGAGGGATCAGTGGAGGGGAAAAGAAGAGATTGAGTATTGCTGTTGAAATCCTCACGCGACCTCGTTTGCTTTTTCTTGATGAACCCACCAGCGGCCTCGACAGTGCCTCGGCGTTCTTCGTCATTCAATCTCTAAGAAATGTGGCTCACGATGGACGGACTGTTGTTTCTTCAATTCATCAGCCGAGTAGTGAGGTTTTTGCTCTCTTTGATGACCTTTTTTTGCTCTCTGGAGGTGAGGCTGTGTACTTTGGGGAAGCTAAAATGGCTATTCAGGTATGCGCTTTGAGGTTGCAGTTTTATGCCTATCAACTGTTTGATGTAATGCTACAGTACTTGTTATCTGTTTTGTAGTTCTTTGCTGAAGCTAATTTTCCATGTCCTAGTAGAAGGAATCCATCTGATCATTTTCTTCGTTGCATAAACTCGGATTTCGATATCGTTACTGCGACACTCAAGGGGTCTCTAAGTATTCGAGTAAGGCGTTTTGAATTGTAGCTGAGTTCAACAAACCTCTGGTGGATTGAATTTCCACTTTTTGATGTTGTATGGTTTGTTCATTTGTACCTTTGTTCATGACTTCGAAATTGTAGGACATCCCGGAATCATCCGACCCTTTCATGAATTTGGAAACAGCCCAAATTAAGTCAACGCTTGTTGAAAAATATAGGAGCTCGAAGTACGCAAGTAGGGTGAAGGCAAGAATTCGAGAAATATCCACCATTGTAAGTATCGTTTTGATACCTCTAGTGTAACAGCCTAGGCTCACCGCTAGCAAATATTGTCATTTTTCGGCTTTTCCGTTCGGGCTTCCCCTCAAGTTTTTTAAAACGCGTCTACTAGGGAGAGGTTTCTACACACTTATAAAGAATGTTTCGTTCTCCTCCCAAACTAATATGGAATCTTACAATCACCCTCATTCGGGCCAGCGTCTTCGATGGTACTTGTTCCCCTCTCCAATTAATGTGGGATCTCACAATCCACCCCCCTTCAGAGCCTAGCATCCTCGGCACTCGTTCCCCTCTCCAATCGATGTGGGATCTCACAATTCACTCACTTTCAAAACCTAGCGTCCTCGCTGACACTCGTTTCTCTTTCCAATCATTGTGGGGTAGATTGTGAGATTCCACATCGGTTGGGAAGGAGAACGAAACATTCTTTATAAGGATGTGAAAACCTCTCCCTAGAAGACGCGTTTTAAAAACCGTGAGAGGAAGCCTGAAAGGAAAAGGCTAAAAGAGAACAATATCTATTACATCTAGTCCTCAAGTCATCAAAAGCCTACAATATATCACCCTACTAGAAATCGTAGGAGCTTGAAGTACATGAACCAGCAATTGTTTGGAACAAATTGTATGAATAGTTTCATCTTCTTCAGGAGGGACTTGAAGTAGAGAAGGAAAAAGGAGATAAAGCTAGTTGGTTGAAGCAGCTCTCAACATTGACCCGTCGATCATTTGTGAATATGAGTAGGGACGTGGGATACTATTGGCTAAGGATAATTATCTATGTGATAGTCTCCTTATGTGTTGGTACCATCTACTTCGATGTTGGAACAAGTTACACTGCAATCTTGGCTCGAGGAGCCTGCGGTGGATTCATAACTGGCTTTATGACATTCATGACTATAGGGGGCTTTCCATCTTTCATTGAGGAAATGAAGGTAAAAAAATCTCCATAAGCTTGAGCTTGGCGTTTCTTTTAGTATATTGAAGTTTCAGTTTCATTCTTCTGCAGATGTTCTACCGAGAAAGGCTCAATGGGTACTATGGAGTTACAGTGTTTATATTGTCAAACTTCCTCTCTTCTTTCCCATTTTTGGTTTTGATTTCAGTCGCTTCTGGGACTATCACCTTCTACATGGTGAAGTATCGCCCAGAGTTCTCCCGCTACATGTTCTTCTGCCTCAATATTTTTGGCTGCATTTCTGTTATAGAAGGATTGATGATGGTTGTGGCTTCATTGGTTCCAAACTTTCTTATGGGAATTATAACAGGCGCTGGAGTCATTGTAAGAACACAATAACATTATGGATTCGGTACCATCTTCTTCATATTTCATGTTTTGCATCTCAACGTACATAACTTTCTTGGTTTCTATTTTCCTTTCAGGGTATCATGATGATGACCTCTGGCTTCTTCCGATTATTGCCCGACCTTCCGAAGCCATTTTGGCGGTATCCTATCTCGTATCTCAGCTATGGCTCTTGGGCACTACAGGTATCATCTTGCTAGGCTTCTCATATCTTCCATTGATGGTTCAATTATGATTTAACTGAGTATCTAAGTTCATTATGCAGGGTGCCTACAAAAATGACTTGATTGGGCTTGAGTTCAACCCATTGATACCTGGCATGCCAAAGTTGAGTGGCGAGTATGTAATCACCAACATGTATGGGATTCCAATAAACCATTCCAAATGGTGGGACTTAACAGCTCTCATGTTCCTTGTTCTTCTTTACCGAATTCTCTTCTTTGTTGTATTGAAATTCAAGGAAAGAGCTACGCCATTGCTGCGGACAATGTTCACAAAGAAAACTTTGCAACACCTTCAGAGGAGACCTTCCTTCAGGACAATACCGCCTTCTATTACCTCTAAGAGGCACCAGCCTCTTCACTCACTCTCTTCTCAAGAAGGTCTCAACTCTCCTCTCAACTAAGAAGCTCCAAGGACAATAACTTGGAAAGCATGTACCTATAACAATGTAACTAATAAGAGGTATGTAAGTAGCTACAGATCCATATGTCAAGGAAAGGAAAAGAAGGAGATAGTAAATATATAGAATTTCATACGATTTACATTGTTCATACTTTGTAATAAATTTATTTTTTCTTTTATTGATTGAACTTAAAATCTATATTTTTCATCAGTTTTGAATGTCTTAGCCTGCCTCTGTGTAAGATTGGAAACTGCTTCTGAGCACATCTAAGATAAGATTTATGATTATTCCTAATCTGAGAAGCCCTGATGTATGTTCTTGTATTTTTCTTCATTGTTTTACAGACTTACTGCTGGTTTTTATAACATAGCAGAACAATAAAGATGGAAGGAATAGATTAAGACCTCACGCTGTGAATTCTTCTGAAACTTCAGAGAAATGGAACCTTTTGCCTTAAAGAGAGGAAAAGGGTTCAAAGCTTCCTGTGATAAACAGAGAAATGGAACATTACAAATGGTAGATATTTAGTTGGGCGGTACATGAATGAGTAGTGATATGAACCGTTACTCACATCTCCATATAGGCTTGTAGATGAAGAACTGCAGAAATGCATAATTGACCCATAAATGTTAGCAACTCTGTCACTATTTCTTCCTTTTTATAGCGATTGATGGTTGGGTTTGGTGAGGTATTTACTGTGCTCTATTCCTTTGTCAACTTTCTACTCTTTTAACACTCAAAGCCATCCAACCATAGCTTGGCTGAGGAAGGAAACTGTCCCTTGCTATTAACTCTCACCCACCCACCCACCTTGCCACATATTAGAAAGAGAGCTGATGATATCTTGAATATACTAAATGAGGTTGCAGGAGTTGTTTGTTCAAAAACAAGAAAACTCAGACACAAATATTCAGAAACTTGAGATACTGCTTGATCATATAGAACTCTTTATGACCACATTAGATATATAATTAGCACACATACTCGTGCATATCCTTAAGATTAGAGGTTCAAATCTTCGTAACCGGTATATAGAATTAAATGTTGAAGCACATGCGTATTGATGGCTCGTACAGTTTGAACTTTCCTTTTTCTGATAACAAATGTAATGTTAAACCATTAGAACCTAAGCAACAATAAGTTTGATGGGTTTTCTGATATAAGCCTTTGCCAGGTCATAAATACTTTAAATTGTTTTCAACTGTTTCTAAACCATTCAGTTGCACTTACCACACACACAGCTGAACATCAAGAGAAAACACACAAAAGTTGTAGAAAGAACACACTATAAATGCTGAAGATCAGGAGGAGGAGGGTGTGGGAAGTGTGAGAGACAGACATTCATGGAGATTGAGGAGGAGAGGGCAGATGGGAGATGCTCTGTGGAGGAGGCGGCAAAGAGAGTAGAAGGAAGAAAAGGGAAGTATGGGGAGGCTGCCGCCATTGCTGCTGCTGCTATGTATTTGGTTTGGGAAAATCTGACTGTTATGGTTCCAAATCTCTGGAATGGACAGAGTAGAAGACTCTTGCTTGATGGTCTCAATGGCTATGCTGAGCCTGGAAGAATCATGGCCATTATGGGTCCTTCTGGCTCTGGGAAATCCACCCTTCTCGACTCCTTAGCAGGTTCTCTCCCTTTTCCTCTTTGTCTCTTTAAGCTCTCTGTTTTCCTTTTTCTTTTCTGTTCTTCTTCTTCTTCTGCATATTCTGTGGCCTTGAAACTTATATCATGATTTAGAAACAAGAACAACCCATTTATCTAGGCTTGATTTTGTTCAACTAGAACTAACATAACCTAAAAGAGACCTTTTCAATCACTTTGATTTTGTTCAATTATTCCATTCTCAGTTCTCAGAAAGTTGGGTTAGTTTCATCCAAAATTATCGTAGAAACTTGTCATCAACAATGTTTTTAAACCATAGATTACTAGAGAAAGAACTTGTGATCAACAATGTTTCTTAAACCCTGAATAGAAAAAACTTGAAATTTGAATAGAAACCAACAAACCCAGTGGGTAATTAAAGCCGCATGGCATCACATGAATATTTAATATTTGACCCACTTTTTGTTGCTTTCGTGCTAAGCTATATTCCCTTGTTTGCCTTCTTTTCCAAAATTTGAGCAATTTATTCAATACACTTTGGTTTCAGTGCGTAGCGATATAGATGTTTTCAGACATTAAATGTGTAGGAAAAAGCAATGCGATTTGGGTTCAATCTCTCATCTCTCAACCAAACTTGTCATCTATCTATTGGCTTTGTGGGTGGGCACAACTCATTTCTTTTTTAAGTATCAGATTCAGAGCTATGACAGACAGGACCATCTATGTAGTACTTTACCCATAAAAATACTATATGAAACTTTGATCTTAATTTTCATAAAGGGGTAGTTGTAAATAGGCTAAATTATAAATAAATAAATTATACCCTTCAAACTTTGCCCTTATATAAAAATTATTCATATTCTGTCTGACGATATTTCATTAATATTTCAAAAGTAGAAATACCAAAATGTTGAAAGAAAAATTAATATGTCGAAACATGGTTCTTTTAGATTTAACCAAGATAAGCATCCTAGCCACTGTCACGTTGTTTCAAGTCATCATTACGTCTATATCTTTCTAACGTTGTAATAAATTTTAGTTCTAATAGTTTTTTTGAAATGTTTACGAAAATTCAAGAGTAATATAAGATTGAGTTATTCAAAGGCTTAATTTGAAAGACCAACTTTATTTTTGCAGGGCGATTGGCACAAAATGCAGTCTTGACAGGAAATATTCTTCTGAACGGAAAGAAAAGAAGGCTAGATTACGGCATTGTGGTTAGTATTAATATGCAGTTCATCAACCAAGTATGAGCTTTTGATTGTTATTTTTTTAATTTTCTCCAAAATTTCAGGCCTATGTGACCCAAGAGGATACAATGTTGGGGACTCTGACAGTAAGAGAAACCATATCATATTCAGCCAATTTGAGGCTTCCAAGTTCTATGACCAAAGAAGAAGTAAATGATATAGTGGAAGGAACGATATTGGAAATGGGTCTCCAAGATTGTGCTGAGAGGATCGTTGGAAACTGGCATTTAAGAGGCATCAGTGGGGGCGAAAGGAAAAGATTAGGCATTGCATTGGAAATCCTCACCAGACCAAGCCTGTTGTTCCTTGATGAACCAACCAGCGGCCTCGACAGCGCTGCTGCTTTCTTCGTTGTTCAAGCTCTTAGAAGCATTGCTCATGATGGAAGAACTGTCATCTCTTCGATCCATCAGCCCAGCAGCGAGGTTTTTGCTTTATTTGATGACCTTTTTCTTCTTTCAGGAGGCCAAGCTGTTTACTTTGGAGAATCAAAAATGGCAGCTCAGGTAAAGATTAAATTAACAGCTGATGAATGTTTTAAAACATATTCTAAGATCACTGTAGAACACTTTCAAGCAGAATCCAACTGAGAAAATCTCATAAACTAAATATGTTTCTGGTTTTGCAGTTCTTTGCTGAAGCAGGATTTCCATGTCCAAGGCAAAGAAACCCTTCTGATCACTTCCTTCGCTGTATTAATTCAGACTTCGACGCAGTCAATATGGCTTTAATGATTTCTCAAAGAGTAAGTGCCTCCAAGCTACTAACTACTTACGATTTTAAAACATGTCTGCTAGAGAGAGATTTTCACACCCTTATAAAAAATGTTTCATTCTCCTCTCCAACTAACGTGGGATCTCACATCTATCTTCATAAGTTGATAAGTTTGACTATTTCATAGCTACATATAAATGAGTGATTGTTATGCACTTCACGATATGATATCAAATCTAACAAGCTTAAAATCGCACACACCAGAAAGAATACTCATTTTTTTCTGCTATCATATGCTAAACTTTCGGATTTACCATTTTCTGTTCTATTGCTTCAGGAAAACCAAAAACCAGTAGACCCTTTATCTAAGTTTTCAACGGCAGAGATGAAAGCAAGACTAGTTGAGAAATACAGATGCTCAGAGCAGGAAGCCAAAATGAAAACTAGGATGAGAGAGATATCAGAAATGGTAAGCCAACAGTTTATGAACATTCCATTTAACATAATGCTTTAAATTCAAACAACGATCTTACTAGTTGTAGTTTTGATGCAGGAAGGACCTTCTATGACTATTAAGAAATGTGGAAACCGTGCTAAATGGTGGAAGCAACTCTCAACATTGACTAGAAGATCAACGGTGAACATGTCCAGAGATTTGGGCTACTACTGGATAAGAATTATTGTCTACATACTATTATCTATATGTGTGGGCACAATATTCATGCATGTTGGTACAAGCTATGTTGATATCTTTGCAAGGGCATCTTGTGCTGCATTTGTTTCTGGATTCATGACTTTCATGTCCATTGGAGGCTTTCCATCGTTCATTGAAGAGATGAAGGTATAGATTACCTCCATGTTTTGTTCCAAAATTTCACAGCCTTTTGTATAGTTTTATGGAACTCATTGAATAGCTTAATGCCCATTAGAAACTTGTGTAGAACAAGAAGCACTGGGTTAAATAAATTGGGCAAGAAAGGAAATTGGAATTGAAATTGTTGCTGCCACGAGCAATAGATTGAAGAAATGTTGGGCACAACCTTGTGAGAGTGGAATGAAGCATTCCTTATAAGGGTGTGGAAACCTCTCCCTAGTAAACGTGTTTTAAAACATTGAGGGGAAGCCCACAAGTGAAAGCCCACAAGTGAAAGCCCAAAGAGACAATATCTGCCAGTGGTGGGTTTGAACTGTTACAAATGATATTAGAGCCAGACACTCGGCGATGTACCAACGAGGACATTGGTCCCCCAATAGGAGTGGATTGTGAGATCCCGTCATATCGGTTGGAGAGGGAAACGAAGTATTCCTTATAAGGGTGTAGAAACCTCTCTCTAGTAGACGCGTTTTAAAACCTTGAAAGGAAACCCATAAGTGAAAGGCCAAAAAGAACAATATCTGCTAGTAGTAGGCTTAGACTGTTACAATTGATATCAGAGTCAGACATTAGGTGGTGTGCCAATGAGAATGATGGTCCCTCAAGGGGGTGGATTGTGAGATCTCACATCGGTTGAGGAGGGGAACAAAACATTTCTTACAAAGGTGTAAAAACTTCTCCCTAGTAGACGCATTTTAAAACCTTGAGGAGAAGCGTAGAAGTGAAAGCTCAAAAAGAACAATATCTATGTGTTATTACAAACTTCTTTCATATTTGAATACATGATTTTGTGAAACAGGTATTTCATAAGGAAAGGCTGAACGGGCATTATGGGATTGTTGTATACACGTTATCAAATTTTCTGTCTTCATTCCCATTCTTAGCTCTCATGTCTGTTGCTTCTGCAACCATAGTATTCTACATGGTCAAATTTGAAACCGAGTTCTCTCGTTACGTCTACATCTGCCTTGACCTGCTGAGCTCCATTGCAGTTGTAGAAAGCGCCATGATGATTATTGCTTCCTTGGTTCCCAACTTTATGATGGGTGTCATTATTGGAGCTGGTTACATTGTAAGACGACCATTACTATTTCATCTTTTCATAAACACTTCGAAACAAAATCTCTTAAAAACTTTACTTTTTGTTCCTTTTAATGAATGACAAATCATAATGGTTCAGAGGCTTCGAAACAAGTGAAAATGGCTTAACTGTGATCTGTGCAGGGAATCATGATGATGACTTCTGGTTACTTTAGGTTTGTGCCTGATCTTCCCAAGGTGTTCTGGCGTTACCCAATATCATACATCAACTATGGCGCCTGGGGTTTACAGGTACTTCTAGCTCTGTTAGCAAAACAACACTTATTTGGAGAGAAATAAGTATATTATAAGATTTGGGATTGTTCCATTCAAATGCAGGGAGCGTACAAGAATGACTTGATAGGGTTGGAGGTCGACTCTAAAATTGGTGGAGGTCCTAAAGTAAAAGGAGAAGTGATCCTTGAAATGTTGCTAGGATATCAAGCTCATCACTCCAAATGGTGGGATTTAGCAGCTGTGTTAGTCATTCTAGTTACTTTCAGGCTCCTCTTTATTTTGATCCTCAAGTTGAAGGAGAAAGTTTCACCATTTTTTCAAACACTCTACGCCAAGCAGACTCTACGACGTATCGGTGAGCCATCCATGGCTACGAGAAAATCAAAACTGCCTCAGTTCCCTTCTAAGAGACATCACCAACCTCTTTATTCATTGTCTTCTCAAGAGGGTCTCAACTCACCAATCAACTGAAAGGGAAGGCATAGATCAACTACATTCATACGGTAACATGGGATATAAGAGTTTAAACTACCCAATTGATTGGAAAGGAAATACAAACATAGACACTTTTTAAGCTTTTGTTTATGATGGGATAAAAATGTGCTCTGTTTTAGCTTGCCTTGAATGGCTTGGTGGTTCATGAGGTGGTGAAGTTGGTTTTGATGTTTTCGGTATTTACACAATTGCCACAATAACAAATCAGATGTTTAATTTTACTCAAAAGTGCCTCCTTATCAAAAGTGTTTGAGTGTTTTCATTGTGCTCAGCAATCTATCACTTTTGGTACTTGGTTTTACACTTCTAAAAATGCTTTTAAAGCACTCAAATCAGAAGGAATCTCAAGTGTATGTAGCCTTTTTCCAAGTACTTTTAGGTTACTTGAACATGATGTGATAATAAATCGACCATAATCGAGCATACCTTTGGCAGTGGCAAGTAGCGACCGAAAAGGCACTGTCAAGTACATATTAAACATGCTCTCAGAACAAAATAATTTTCATAGAAAAACAAAACAAATCAGAAACAATTCAATTTAAAACACCACCGAAACCCAAACAACATGATATAGAAGCAAACATAACAAATTATTTGATAATTACTTTCATAGCTCCATTCATGGAAGCTTATCAAAATGTTCTTTTAACCCGAACTAAGTTCACTATACTTTATTGTTATTCCCATCTGTTCCGATACCTTAAAAGCACAGAAATAGTAAGAAAAGAAAAGCGGAAAAAATGACAGAGAACGAGAGAAACAATGAAAAGTGAAATATAACCAAAACCAAAAAACGTCACAATGGATCTTGTACTGCAAATAAGGAAATTAAACAACTCTTAATTGTAAACTGGAACCTTCCTCGCGTTCATTTGAAATACCTAATTTAAAGCAAACCAAGCGAATTAGCCTTCACTTCTGAATTCCTATAAAACGGGCATAGTCCACCCACCTGGCGAAGCGAGTTTATAGAATGTAAGTTAAAATAGGGAAAGGCAAGCGATCACATTTTTTTAAAAAAAATAATAATAAAGAAACCAATTTTCATAGAAAAAATACAGTAAGAAATCACACTATTAATAGAGATGTGAAAATCTTACAAGAGTGAACCAAGGAATGTGTTTCCTGTTCTAACAGCAAAACAAAGTGCGCTGAGCATGAGCTTGTGCTTGTGTAACAAGGGCTCCAAAATTCGCTGTTCTATTACACCAGCCAGAACTTGATACCTACACAATGAAATATCCCAGGTATAAGAAAAGCTCGGAAATGGATGAGCTCACAACATCAGGGTAGAAGAGAGCAAGACCAGCAGGTCAATCTTATTTAAATAGCAGCCATCAAATCAATAAGCAAATTTATTCTAAGTTTCACAGTAGGCAATCGAAATTACAGTGTAATCATTACTTTTCATCACAAAGATATCCATTACAATTTGATTATATCACCTTCGGCACATCATTCTTCTAACTAAAATACTGTCCACGCAAATGCATCATTCATTCCTCATTTTTCCTTTTCATAAGGATCTCAACTCTGGTTTAACCTCCCTTGCATTCTAATTTTTATAATAGTACTGTACACAAGTAACTTGTATTTCAAAGTTTTCAAGATAAAGACCAAAACCTGAAATCCCAAATGAATACCAATCACACCAAAGAGTGCAATAAGTCTCTACTTTTGGGAAACATTAGCGTATAATCTTTGCGCAACAAAGAGTACGCAAAAAGGCTACAGATGCAGTGGTAAGCCAGGGTAAGAAAACCCACCATATACTGGTTCTAAATATAATTTATGGTAGCACTTTCTCAAAAAGGGGATTCATTCTAAATATAATTCATGGTCGCATACAACAAGCTATAACTGCAGAAAACCAATACCTGAGGTTGCTGGAGACAGCCATATAGACACCGTAACCAACACTCGTGGAAAGTATAGGCACATTTTCCACTTCAGCTGCAGCATTCTTATCAATGGCCTTCCTTGCATTGATTACAGTATTTGTAACAGCTGTGCCAACCTATACAAAGAGCATAACGAATTAGTTTCTGCAATGTTTATTCAAAAGACAAACACCCCAGGTGTTGCAGGTAGTGGCTGAAGAAACAAGAATCCCAAAAAGAGGTCTGATGGTTACTGCTGGGGCTACAAAACAAGCGTTCATATTGTTGCATATGAGCTAAGATGGGTCCCACTTAACATGATGATTGAAGTGTAGCAAGAAAGGGACACAATGTAAAATAATATGAACTTAAAGAATAAGAACAACGGGTCAGGCAATAAGACCCCATGGTTCACCGTTCAAAATTTTGCAGCCCAGACTCCCAATCTTCAAAGGATTGCATTACTAGTTAAATTCAGGGGACAAAAAAATTCTGAGAAAAAGGGAAGAGCTGGAAGTCAGCCAGATACCTATTGATCTACGGCCAAACAGACAGGGTGACAGGTGGTAAAAAAACAAGCGACCATTTTCCTATGACAGATGACTCCAGCAGCAAAAGAAGCCATAAAAGATGACTAGAAAATGACGTGATACAAAAGACCCTAAGAATTTCGGAAACTCAAGAGGAGACATTTGACAATGTACCAGTGATGAAGTCGTGCCAACTGCAAAAAGCTTAGCTCCATTGCGCTGCAAAAGTATCCACAGAAAACATGATAAGTTGATTTTGCATTTTCTTCTAAATATATAAAATTGATGCAAAATTTACCAAAAGTTCTCATACCGCTATTGCACCAAATCTCTGTAATAATGAATATGAAGTTCCAGAGAGAGCAACCTAAAACAGAACAATAATTTAGTTCTCGCAATCCTCTAAAGAAAGGTTCAGCAAAGATCCAATTAATCCATGAGAATGAAAGACCTGGAAAGCATTATCAGGACATCCATGGAAGAACTTCGCAATAGCTCCTGCACTGACTGAAAGTGGTGGTCGGAGAGAAACAGTCGGAGCAGGAAGATAAACAAGCATGAAATCAGCAATAACTGCCATTACCTAAAAATATGTACTTGTCAATAGATTTGCTTCGAATGATATCTTTCTTGACGAAAAGAGCATGTGCTCTTTCAAGAGTTAAGAAAGAACATAATTACTAATTTTCAAATCAAAACTGCAAATACCCTAAAACATTAGTTAGTCCCACTTGTCTGAGCCAAATACCAGATTAACTATTTTACAAAACAGAACATATGCACATATTCACAACGCTCCAAGAAACAACTCTCTGTCCTTACTATGTTATACAAAGGAATTCAATCATTGCATTAGACTAATTGCTCTAGTATTCCAGCCTTGTGTCTAACCATCTTCTACCGGTGACAATAGACAGGTACTTAGAAATGATTGCTTATCTTAAACGGTTTGTATGCTATCACAAACTTATAGCCATGACTGACGATGACCACACTTTTAGTTTTTGGATCACCAACCCCTTAATACATTATAGATTCTCCAACAATCAAATTCCACCGGTTGCTGGCAGAATTACACTTCCACTCTTTAATTGTTAGATGCATGTGGGGATGAAAAGTTATCTGACAATTATGAAAGTGGTAACCACTCTGTTTAATCACTCCCAAATTTTCTCTTTTGATCAAGGAAAACGGGATGACATCATCTGACAGCAGACTAACGTATATATCAAGCGAGAGCGTATAAGTGCTCTAGTGCTATCACTTAGACGTGCAAATGAAATGTAAAATATTTGATGAGTAACAACAGGGTTATACCACATCAGCGAAAACAATCTCGAGCTCATCAAAAAACTTTTCCCTTCGGCGCTCATACTCAGCAGCAGTCTGAAAAATAAATTACGAAAATTAACTGCAGGTAAGGGAGAGGAAAGAAGGGGGTGAGATTTACAATAAGCTAAAAGTAAAAACGCATCCAAGGAAATGATCAAACAAATTTCAAGGCCAGTGTCCTAAGATGATATCGTTTAATGCAGGTATGCATGCAAAACGGAAGTAGAAATCCCCAAAGAAAAAGTCAGATCAAATAGCCTAAAACATCACAGTTCAAGGTCAATAGTAAAATTTGAACATGTACAATTGAGTGGCAAAGAAATAGAAAAAAGATGGGGAGGGAAAGATTTCTATATTTGTCGGTAAAAGCGAAGAACAAAATAAATGCAATAAAAGAAACGAGAAGATCCCTATAAATTATAAAGGACATTTTTACTGATCCGGAACATGAGAGTGGGTGAAAAGAAAACCTTAGTGAAGACCCCAACGCCGCATTCCATCCCGACCTTCGCTAGAAACAAATCGTCCGCCAACAGGCGCTCCTTGAATCCACCAAACTGCATCAGCCATCGCATGATAGCAGACTTCTCAAGCTCAAAAAACTTCGTGATCACCGATCCAGGGATTCGACCGGCCTCGATCGCGGCCACCAAGTCCTTCGGCAGGCATTCCAGTGATCGGCCAGCCTCAGCCAACACCAAAAGCGCCTCCGCCTTGTTCTTATCACCAGCATTTCCAGAGCCACCTTCATTACCATGATCATCACCGCCCCCGCCTCCTCCGCCGCGCGAAGAAAAGTTACCGCCGTCAGAACCACCACCTCCAGAAGAAGACACCCAAAACATCCGTCGACGGTTACTTAGATCGCATCGGTCATGTCGACGAGTGAGAAACATACCATTGGCCCTGATACCGGCAGTCAAGGAGGTGAAAGCAGGGGAAGCGGAGATGTGCAAGTGATGCAAATGCGACGGCGATGACTGAAAACAACGATTCTGATTCAATATAGCGAGAGACAACGAAGACGGATTGATGAAAGCGGCAGAAGCCATAGCGAAAAATCTCTCTTCTCCCTTCTCTCTTATTCTCTCCCTCTCTCTCTTTCTTCTCGTCGGTCGGTGGCGGAGGAAGTTTAAGTTTCAGACGGCACAGTGAAGTAGGTGGGCGGGCGTTAAAACTTAGAGAGCATAAAGAGCCATTAGGGGTTTCTGTTTCCCGAGTCAAAAGCCTAAATAAACAAATAAACATAAATGTTTAATATTTTCCTCAAAAATCCACGTCCTCAATTGGCACACGCGCGATAACATGAACTTCCCGCGCGTGAGGGCATTTTGGGAAGTCTGTTTTTTTCTTTTGATATAAAAAACTAAAAAAAAAAAAAAAAAAAAAAGTGCTTGGTCGGTAATATCACTACCCTAACACCATGCAGTGCACGTGCGAGAATGTCTCTTAATTACCGAATTGTCCGTACCTCAACTGTCTCACACTTATTTTTTTAAATTAAAATTTTTAATTTTTTCGTAACTCTTATGTTTTTTGCTAAAACATATTATACATAACATAATAAAAATAATATTTATAAATACATAAAATTTACATTTGTCCTTAGTATTTACTCACCCATTAGTGTATTTATTGATTTTTATTATAAATTTTCACGTTTATTGAATTATAAAGATACATTAATTGACAATTTTTATAAAAATCGCAATATATTTATGTTTTTTAATTCGATTTTTATAACAATTTGTGCTAATTTATGATATATGTGAATATGCTATGGACATACTCATGGAAGCGTATGACTATGAATATGTTATGGATCACTTTAGAACGGGTTCCCAAAACCTTGGAAGATTATATGGGGTTGATAAATGACGTGGCACTATACTTCTTTGGATTGCCCGTGAAATTTTCACATGGGAATATATGGACATCGAGAGTAATTTTCATATTTTATTGATTTTTTAAATTACGTATAAGAAATAAATAAAACGACAATAAAATTAACAAAACGACAATAAACCTTATTGCATGCCGACTCATCGAATGCCAACGTCAGGTGAATACGATATGCTTTGAAAATGGCATTATAAAAAACCCCGTTATTTTGCCAGTCACGTCATGTCGTTTTTTAAAAACCGAACAGCATTCCCTTTTCTGTTTCTTTTTTCTTTTTTTTTTTTAATATAAATTGATTAACTAACTATTTCTGCAAGTAAAAATAATAAAATAATAATGGTAGTATATCAATTTACACCGGATTTTATTTAAAAAGTCTATATATATACGTGTGCAAATAAATAAAATTGATAAGAATATAAATCAAACGTTTTCGTTCATATATTGATATTAAAATCTTTTTTTATGAAAATATACGAAAAACGTTAAATTTTATCCGATACTTTTATTAATCTAAAGTATTTTATCGACAATAATCTTTATTGTATAGACAAAATTAAATAGAATATTTCTGAATGGTCAAATTATACCCAACAAAATGTTGACCAAGATATAGTAGCTTAGTAGAAAGCATTTTTTAAATTCTAAATTTATATAAACATCCTTTAAAAAAATTAAAAAAAAAACTTTGTTAAAATTTAATATTTAATATTTAATCAAAATAACGATGAATTCTTATAAATTAAAACTTTTATGGGTTAAATTGGAATAAACGATTCAAACGATCAGATTAATTTATTATTATTATTAGATTGGATTGGGTTTGTTATTTAATAAATTTTGTTTGAATTAAAAAAAAAAAATTACATCAGTATAGTTTAAAATCCGTCTCAAATTCATCTTTAACTCAAAAATACCTCTAGAAAACTAGACTTAGATAAACACAATACACGTGAATTAAAGGATACGAAATTAGGAATATCATTATATTCGTATTATATTTTAAAGTTTATTCGTAAAGTTTTGGTTGAAAAATAGAGTCAAAAAGGGAAAAATATTTAAAAATTTAAATATATATAAAGCGTTGGAAGTAATAATGCAAATCCAGATGCCTTGCATGCCCAAAAAAATAACGAAGTCAAGAGAGTAAAAACACAGAGATTCAGGGGGTGTGATTCAGTGCTACACTTCACACCGTATAAGACAAAAAGGCAGTGATGATTGCCATCAGACGCCTTCATTAGCCCAACATCTTTAGGTACTTAAATCCTGGCCCTTCATTTTCTTTCCCCATCAAGAAAAATCTCTTTCCCTCTCTGAGCCATTTTCATGTGATATAAACCCTTTTCTTCTCACCCATATTCACACTCAACAAGGCATAAGAGAAAGAAGAAAAACCCTATTTGCTGCTTGGGAGAGGGAAGGTGAAAGAAAGGTGAGTTTGGATTATAAGCTCAATTTTAATTTATTTTCTTAATTTTACTCGTTCCCGATTCGAGTTAATTAGACTCGAACATTTGATTATAAGCTCAATTTTAATTTATTTTCTTAATTTTACTCGTTCCCGATTCGAGTTAATTAGACTCGAACATTTGGTATTTTGATCGAAAGTATATGTATTAACTAGTCCAACCGAACCCGAAATGGGTTATGAGTTTTACTTAATTTAGCTTATTATTTTGTGTTTATATGATATTTTTTAGTTTGTCTAACATTTTATTAGTGATGTTTTTACATAAATATGGGTGTAATTAATAAAATAAAATAAAATAAATTAAATTAATTAATTAATTAAAACATGCTTTTAAGTTTGTGAATTTAATTTTATTTATTACTGTAGTCTGAAACATGACACGTGCGAGACATGCCTCGTGTTCCGTCTTTTTTCAGTCCATCTCAGAATCGTGTTGGGCTATTTCTGTTTAATATCATCGAAGACGTTAATGGGCCGAGCCCAAACAAACTGCAATTTTTCATATTTTTATTTTTATATAATTCCACTAATTATAATATACAATTTTTAAAACTTTATTTGAGCAATAATTATTAGCGCACGTTAGCGCATATGGGCGCATTCTAGCGCACGTTAGCATGATTAGAGTCTGCATGATTACGACTTTATGGCAATTTTGGATGAAAATTCAATAAATGCACGTTGTTTCTCTGTTGAGCTTGCATGAATGTTTAGATGATGTAATGATTGTGATACCCGAGTAATAGATTTTCTCCTAAATCAATGTTTTTTTTTTTTTTTCTCTTTTTCCTCAGCTCCACTTGAAGCAAATTAGTTTAGCAAATAAATGGATCGAAGCAGCAGCTCGAAAATTGACCCATCGGGTTTGTCTTATTTATTAATTTTGACCTTTAAAAATATTACTTTTTCAAGTTGTATTTTTTGTTTGATACAATATTATAGTATACGATGCTTATTTGTGCGTGTAGAATTCAAGCCTGTGGGTTTAGAACTCGAGGTCTTGCAGAAAGAGGTCGAGGAAAAAACGAAGAAAATTAAAGAGATGAAGAAGGAGATTGAAGCAATAAAAATGTGGTTGGAGGAGAAGAAAGGTTCAAGGGAAGAAATAGAAAGTTTAAAGACATTATGTGAAGAATACAACAGCTTGAGAAAGGAATACTATGAAACATTGGGCAATCAGACAAGGGAATCCTAGGAATTGACTATAATTATTAGTGTCTATTTGCATGCAGTTTAAATTATTATTAAAATCCAATTTTTTTTTTTTATTTATTATTTAAAATTTGACAAACAAACAGCTAAAAAAATATATATGTTTTGTAGTTAATGTTTTTTCCTACCAAAATTAATTTTTTTTGGGATAAATTTTTTTCCCAAGCTCTTAATATTAGACCAAATGGTGGGCCCCACACCATATCTGCTCCAATACTAATAATTCATATAGACTTTTTCACCCTCTCAATAATTTGCAATAAATATGGCCTCTAAAATTGAACTTAATAATATATTCAATAAAATTTTATTTACAAAAAATTTATTTATAGTAACTTATTAGTTTGTATTTTCTTTGTTAGCATTAAATTTCTCATTTTAGATTAATAAAAAAAATATTCAATTATTTTATTTTGTTTAAAAATTATCTTTAAATTTTTAATTTTTAATAATTTAAAGATATTTTTTAAAATAAAAGACATCTTAAAAATAAAATATGGATGATTTAATTTTTTCAAAATTTAAGTATTTTTATTAAGTAAGTAAATTAAAAAATTAATGAGTAATTAAATAGTAGCCAAACATATTTACCAAATGATAATATAACATGGTCACTTGCGTTCATAGATTAATCAATCCGATGGAACGTGTCTCTTTCCAGTGGGATGTAATTAGATTGTGACATTTGGGTTCAAGTGGGTCATGGTTTTTGTTCTATATAAATATTCAAATCTCAGATGTTAGTACGATCATATCCTCACAACCGTCCTCTATGGGAAGAACAAAATGTAATGCAATGTAATCCAAATTAAATTAGTCTAATTATAACCTATGGTCAAAAAGAAACGTAAAATAATGTAATCCAAACTTAATTATAATAACCTATGGTGACTCCCCAAACATGGAAAGCGAAATAAATGAAGGGATTGGAGCTGCAACACAACACATGATATTGAAAGCGCCCTTACAAAGATCAAAAGCAGAGCCAAGGAAGGCAACCAGCTTCATTATCAGCGTCGCACCTGTGATTGATTGTTGAAAAAACCTTTGTTTCGCTCTCTTCCTTTCGTTTTTTTTTTTTTTTTGCCTTCCAACCCAAGGAAATAACTCCGTCCACAAAACATACTGTTGCCCACTTTCCATTTCAATCCCATACTCGCTCTGAATTCGCCATGATCGTTGTCTCTGCATTGAGAGGAAACTGGAGTTCTTGAGCCTTTAAATCCCCAGACGACATGAATTCATCAAGCTTCCATGATAATGCTCCTGGGTCATCGAATTCTTATGATGGGTATTCCAATATCAGTTTTGTTACGCAATCGCTTTCTCGATCGAAGTCTGGTATTACGAGGGCGAGAATGACGAAGGTGAGGAGGCAAACGAGTTCCCTGGATTTGAGGTCTGCGGCGGTCCCGGAAACGCTTCGGCCGTTCACCGGGAATTCATTTCCGGCGGCATTTTCGGGTCAGGATTCTATCTTTGGTAAATCTGAGTCGGGTGTCATTGGGAATCAGCCATTTGTATTTGGAGAAAATAGGAGCAGAACCAGCTCGAATTTGGAGAGGGCAGAGAGGGAAGTTTTGGATGGAATGAAGAAATTGAATGTCGAAAGTGGAGGTGATGAAGCCATTGAATCAACGCTTCCGGATTACTTGAGGAAGCTGAACATTGAAGAAGGGCAAGGTAATTCTGCACGAATTCATAAAACTAGAAATGAAGGGGCTAAATCTGGTTTGTGGGACAGTAAAGTTGGTAATTCTATAGTTTCAGAACTCCCCAACAAGATGCAGCATTTGAACATTGAAGGTATTGTAGAGCTTAAGACACCAGATGTAAAAACAAAAACATTTTCTGCTGGAATCAGTGAAAATTTTCAATTCAGTGCTCAGAGCGATCCAATTAGAGAATTCAGGCCAAAGAGTAGGAGTGAAAGATATAATTCTACCATGTTTCGGTTGCGCGTTGATCAGGAGACTCAGGAGAGACACAAGGCATCTGAATTCTATTCACCAATGGATGTTTCGCCATATCAAGAAACACTGGCTCGTGGTCGGGTTTCTCGTGAAAATTCTCTGACATCCAATGAATCGCTTAATCTCGACAACAACTCCGTTGTATTTGATGAATCGATACCTGAGGTCTTAAATGATGTTATAGATGAAGATCTGGTTAATGCTACAGAAAGCTTAAATATGAGTGAACCTGGTTGTTCTGCAACTGAAGTGGAAGAATGTGAAGGCACTCTTTACCATTCTAATATAAACCATGGCGCTGAAGGTCCTCTAGAAGAATCTGTTTCAGGGGTGGATACTGAAAGCTACAAATCTGCAAATGAAGAGTTGGATATGAGTGGTGGTCTAGCTGCTATTTCAGGAGAAACAGAAGCCAATTCGAGCGTGAAATTCGAGAGGCAGGATAGCGATGGCAAGAATCAATTTAGTTTTGCTTCAAATTCAGAGGATGGATCGAGATCAAACTTTACATTTGCTGCCTCTTCTGCTGTTCGAGGTCAATTATCTGCATCCAAACGCCAATACAATAAGAAAAGTTGGGGAAAAGTTGGTCAAGATTCTTATATTTCCCCAACAATTGCTGTTGAAGTTTCATTGCCATCCTCTTCTGGGCAATTTGTTACATTTTCTGGGAATCCTTCACCAATATCATCTCAAATGAGTCAGAAGGGAGTTGATTCTTGGATGAACAAAGGCCAGGAGATGAAGCAAGAGTCGGTTTCTACGATAGCAGCAACTGTTGCTGCCCAGGAGGCTTGTGAAAAGTGGAGACTGAGGTTAGGCTTTTGATACTTGTGATTTCTTCTTGCCTTTATACTTTCTTGTGTCAAGATATCCTTTATACTTCATTGTCAGCTTCAAGATTCTTTCTCTTTTGTTTGCATAACATGTTACAGAGGCAACCAGGCATATGCAAGTGGTGATTTATCCAAGGCTGAGGACCATTACACTCGAGGAGTGAATTGTATATCAAAAGATGAGTCATCTAGAAGCTGTCTCAGGGCTTTGATGCTTTGTTACAGCAATCGTGCAGCAACAAGAATGTCTCTTGGAAGATTGCGAGACGCAATCAGTGACTGTACAATGGCTGCTGCTATAGATCCCAGCTTTTATAAAGTGTACCTTAGAGCTGCAAAGTAAGGGCTCGCTGAAGTAGATTTTGAAAATTATGTTCATAACATATCACTGAAGTACTATCTTATAAATTAGCTGTTACCTTGGCCTTGGGGAAATTGACGATGCGGTACAGTTCTTCAAGAGATGCCTGCAACCTGGGAATGATATCTATGTGGACCGGAAAATTGTAGTGGAAGCCTCGCATGGTTTGCAAAATGCTCAGGTAACAGATTTTCTTTCTAAGATGTGATAACTTTTAGTTTTTTGTTCCTTTTGACATGCGTCCTGTCCTATCATCTTTCATGGAAGTTCAATTTGTGCAACAAAGTAATGGATAATCTAAAAGCGTAAGCTGATGGGTTGTAGGAATTCAATCTTATAACAATACTTTAATACTCTTCACTTGTAGGCTTGAAAATTTACACAAGACTTAGCTAGTGGTTATCAATATTTATTAGAGATGAAACAACATTATAGGGTTTGAACAAAGGGCCTCAAACTCTGATGTTATGTTTAGTCGTCAATCAACTAAAAAGCTTAAGCTTTTGGGTTCGTTGTACCAGTACTTTGAAGGGGGTGGATTGGGGGTCCCACATCGATTGGAGAAGGGAACAAATGCTAACGAGGATGTTGGGCCCCAAAGGAGAGGGTGGATTGTGAGATCCCATATCGGATGGGGAAGAGAACGAAACATTTTTTATAAAGGTGTGGAAATCTCTTTTTAATAGATGCGTTTTAAAAACCTTGAGGGAAAGCTCGAAAGAGAGCCCAAAGAGAACAATACCGGCTAGCGATGGGCTTGAGTCATTACAATAACTGAACCTCCATAGTTTTTCAACCTTTTTGTTTCCTTTGATAGTGACCAAAATTGTCGAGGAAGGTATATATGGTTTTTTGCTTCACTTCTAATAGGCGTGATGTGATCTATATGACCAGATCTTACTGTTTCTACTGACTTGCAGAAAGCGTCTGAATGCATGAAACGTTTAGCTGAACTTCAGCTAAGAAGCACATCCACTGATATGCAGAGTGTTTTGGAATTAATTTCAGAGGCTTTGGTAATAAGCTCATGCTCCGAAAAATTAATTGAAATGAAAGCAGAGGCTCTTTTCATGGTTTGTTGCACTTCTCTAATGTTATCGTCGTTTTCTGTATTTTTTCCCTCGATTTCCTCCCTTTCCCTTTGAATTCTTTTGGGAGATCATATGAGATTTTACTGCGAGTAAACTAACTTTCATTTTCATGCATCATAACTCAATGGTTTCTGGGTTTTTATCACTTTCTTTTCTTTAAAAAAAAAAATTCTGCAGCTTCGGAGATATGAGGAGGTGATTCAGTTTTGTGAGCATACCGTAGATTCCGCTGAAAAGAATTCTCCTTCAGAAGATATTGTCAGTCAGACCTCAAATCTGGATTCTTCTGAAATCTCAAAGAAGTTGTACTTTAGGATTTGGCGATGCCGCTTGACTCTCAAGTGCTACTTCCTTCTGGGAAAACTTGAGGAGGGTCTGGCTTCTTTAACGCAAGAGGAGGAAGTGCCTACAGTGATTGGGTAATTTATTATGCTTCCTACTACTTTTGAAGAAGAAACAAGTATTTCACTGATAAAGAAGTAAATTGCAAAGAAAATAAACTTGAAAGGAAAAAGAACATTTTTCACTTTTCCAGTTTGACAATTTTAAGTTCCAGGAATGGAAGAAAGTTTTTAGAATCATCAATACCATTGGCCGTTACCATGAGGGAGCTCGTACGTCACAAGGTATCATAAGTCCACTGCCTTAGAGGCTCCTCCATCCTATCAGCCATAACTTGATCATATCCATATATCATTTTCTAATGCCTTAATATCTTTTAGTCTCATAATTGCATTATATCCCCATACCTTTTTTTCCTCCTTAAATGAGTGCAGGATGCTGGGAATGAAGCATTTCAGGCAGGAAGGAATTCAGAAGCCATTGAACACTACACAGCTGCTTTGGCGTGCAATGTCGAGTCACGTCCTTTCTCAGCTTTTTGTTTCTACAGTCGGGCTGCTGCATACAAAGCTCAGGGCCAAGTTATTGATGCTATTGCGGATTGTAGTCTTGCCATAGCCCTCGATGAAGAATTTTTCAAGGTAAGCTTTCTCTTTCTTGTGTTTATACTGGGCACCGAGCTGTCAACATAAATATCCCTCAATTCTTCTTGGTTTCTCAAAGAAAAATTTGAGTACCATTATAGATGAACACTAACAAGTATGTTCTGATAGAGCTTTTATATTCACAGGCAATTTCTAGACGGGCCACTTTGTATGAAATGATTAGAGACTATGGTCAAGCAGCTAATGATCTCCAGAAGTTTATATTGCTTTTTTCTAAGGAATTAGAGAAGACCTATCAGTTTGGAAATTCCGATAGATCGAGTACCAGTGCAAATGATTTGAGACAAGCTCGTCTCCACCTTGCAGAAGTTGAAGAAGAGTCGAGAAAGGAAATTCCATTGGACATGTACCTTATTCTGTAAGTATCACCCATCATTTAACGAATATTCAGATAATAAAAGGAAACAAAGACATCCCTCTTTCCCCTTCCAGTAGGATGGGAATTCTGAGAAAGGTCCTTTAATTTTAGGTTATGAGAATAACGGTAATTTACCTTTGTGGCAGGGGAGTTGATCCATCTGCATCTTCAGCTGAAATTAAGAAGGCATACAGGAAAGCTGCTCTCAGATACCATCCAGACAAGGTTTAATTTTGTTTACCTTGAAGATATGCTTATTTGTGTCTGTGCTTTCTTAATATGGGTTGTTCGTTCGTTTAGGCTGGTCAGTCCTTGGCTAGAGCAGACAACGGAGATAACGTACTATGGAAGGATATAGCTGGAGGAGTCCCCATGGATGCTGATAAACTTTTTAAAATGATTGGAGAGGCATATAATGTACTCTCAGATCCTATTAAGGTACCCAAAAGGGAGTTCTTCCCCAACTTTTTTATAGAAATTTCAAGAGAAAGGTTTCTTCATTGTCGACCATTATTTTCATTCTCTTTCTGCCTCAAGTTGCAATATGTCCATGCATTGCTTAGATCGAGAAGTACCCCCAACATCCTCCAGTGGCAACTCGAGTTTTACACGAGTCGCTCTTGCATATCATGTTAAGCTATGTTATCGAGCTCGATACATTTTATCAGATGATTGTAGCCTAAACTGATCTGTTTTTTCAGCGCTCCCGATATGATGCGGAAGAAGAGATGAGAACTGCCCAAAAGAAACGCAATGCAAGCAGCACCCCTAGATCACATACAGATGTTCATCAAGGTCATCAGTTCGAAAGAAGTAGTGTTAGGCCTCAGTGGCAAGATCTATGGAGATCTTATGGTTCTCGCGGATCAGAATTTACTCGATCAACCAGGTATCCATAAGAACTATGCGAACACATCAGGATATAATTCAGGCTTTCAAATGGCTAGGGTGCACCAAGTAATTGATCATTCTATCAAGAAATCCAGCTGCAGTTTGTCCCCTCAGGGTGGGACCGCCAAAAGTTGACAATTGGCTCATGGGAATTCCTGATGGCTAAATCTTGAAAAGGAGGTGGAGGCATGATCCTTAACGCAAAACATTGATGCCACAAAGGAAGTAAAATGTAGGTGTTCCACAGAGGAAGTTTGAAGTTGTTCACAGTGCCATGTACAGACAGAGAAGAGATGAGTAAACAGGTGTGTCACAACATCTAATGGCTGGCTGAGTCTCTGACAGGATGCTAACAAAAGAATAAGGATAACTACTACAGTTTAGAGCTTCAACAATCTGGTAATTACCATTTTCTGCATAACATTTTCGTGTGTTCGATGTACCCTCTTTTTTACGTTTATGTTGAATTTGATCTGTGGCTGACGAAGTACTATTCCAGATCTTCATGCTGATGACTATATGTGGTCTGATTTTGTTCTCTTCGTTTTTTAAAGAAATGGTGTATTCTGAAAAAGAAATGAAGAAAAAGAGAACATTAGATTGACTGTGAACACCTTTGACATGAGTAGTTCATGTTGTATGTTGTGTTTGATAGATTTAAGCTTGGTTGGGAACATACATTATCAAGATCATTTTTGGCTTTTGAAACTAAATTTAGACTTTCACTCGTTGTTGAAGGTTTTCGATCTTGTATTATTAGTGTTTATAGTGTTCTACTTGATTCTTGATTCACAGGATCTGGGTGATTAGCACAATCTTTTTGATTGATGGCGTGATTTTATTTTCTCCACCTAGAAAGTACTTTTAAATAATTGGTTTTAGGTCAAATAAGAACGAGGGATGATGATCAGAGGTAAGACAATATAACAAATAATGAGTTCTTAGTGGACATCATCTTTCTACCTCACAAACAGAAGAATGAACTGAAATTCTATCTATTGTTTCTCAAAGTTGAGCCAATTTTACATTATGGATTTTTTAGAGATGAAACTTTTAATTTAGGAGTTAATTGGGTGGAAAGCTATGATATTCTTGATTTTTCAAAATGAAAAAGAAAATCTCCACACTCCAGAGTGAACTTTCAAAGAACATTATCCAGAAAAAAGAATTGTTTTGAAAACTGTGATTGGAAATTTGTTGTTCTTCACAAACATCTTGAAAAATGCCATTCCTCTCACCATGACTTTCCAAAAATTTCAGATACTATAGTGTGAGTACAATGAAGTAGTCATTGTTTTCTTTAAATAAATGTCAGATACTTTCTAGAAACAAAGAAGAAATTTTGAGATTCATACCTGTTTTCATTGTTGAAAGCAATTCTCTAAAATCATGTTTGTGCCCAGAGAAATCACATTCTTACATAAACTACACGGCTTTCCTTCTCGTCACCTGCTATCCATGAAGTAGCCTCGTCTAATCAGAATTAGACCAAAAACAGAAAAGGAAAAAGGGGCATTCTTCATAAATCAACTACTTTCAACACCTGATAAATCAGAAATCAAATTATCAAATGGTTGATAAAGCTATGACTTCTTTCACCAGAGAAATTTGATTCTCACCCTCATGGATACACGCTCTCCAGCAAAATCGTCAAGTGCTCGAATATTACATAGACAAAGTTTCAGTTTTGACACTAACCTTTATTATAGGCGACCACCTTCTCTCCCAGCAGCAAGAAACTAGTAGCTAATATAGATGGACCAGCACCACCATTGCCTGCAGTGCAGGTAGAATCTGAGATAATAATTCACGCTTAGTTGCTGAAGAAAGCGCACCATATCAATTTTTATAATTAGTTATACTAACGACCTCAAAGTTTTCTAGTTTAACTGAAGGTTATGCTGAATATAAAACATGACGGCATTAAAAATCAAAATATTTTGACCCTGATTTCTTCCATTTTCATATAAAATCGTGAAATACAGAGGTTCCTCGAAGGAAATACAAAGGTTATTAAAGAATACACCAAATCCGGAAGATTATAAATTGTTAATTCTCTGTTGGCATTGGGAGTTTGTTTACCTCCTTCGTACAGATACAGTATTGAATTATAAGTGATTGGGGAAAAGTATGCTTCATCAGTCGTGAGGTTTACTCACTAGTTGCATGATTATCAGGGACTTCTCTTTAGCCTATCGGAATCACCCCTGCTTTCATCTCTCCAGCACGTACTAGCTCTGCCACCATTACTGGCTCGGTGAAACAGAAAAGACTGTCAGTTAGATGAAGCATTGCCTTGAATATGTTGCTTTTATTGCCCATGAAAACTAAACTTCAACTTCAACCTACCACTCGCCCATTAGCTTACACAATATCTTTCCTATACTTTGTGCAAGGAAAATGAATTGGTTGAATATTGCATTCAATCTAAGAGATTTAGCAGCACCATATAATAAGAACTATCAACATAAGAAAAGTGCACGATAAGTACATTATGTACCATTGCTCACTCCAGGATAAATGCAGTTGTAATAGCTGGAATGTTTGCCTCCATAGCTTTATTCTTGAAAGCTTTTGCATTCTGTGAATAGTTTGTATCATCACAAACACCAACGTAGGCTGTAAGCAGATAGACAAAGAACGTCGTCAATAGATGATCATAAAAGCAAGATTTTTAATGCAAACAGCTCTTTCCTGGATATTTATGGAAGCTTCAAGTACGGTGCACTTCTCTGTCTGTTGGAATAACCCAGCAGTATGAACTACAGGATCCACATCTGTAGTAACAGCTAAAGATTTCAGTTAAGCACCCCTGGTGGCAGTATGTTAAAGATTTGAATGCCCTTAGTTTAGGGTGCAAGATTTTCACGTGTTTTGTTCCAGATAGACATATTTCATAAATCAAAAGGGGCAAATTTATGTTTGACCACAAAAATCAGTTACTACAAAATAATTCCATGGAAAGAAAATAAAAAATAACTAAGGGGGGGGTGAGGAATTGATCCCTACATGTCATTTCACTAATCTTAATATAAATAAACCACGATATTATATTAAATTACATCTGCATTTTACACCGAGGTCAAAAGCTCATCAGAACCACCAAAGTTCTGGTCGTTCGACAGTCTTTGGAGTCAACAAAAAAAAAAGGTCGTGAAAAATTAACCATACACGACATCTAGAGACAATACCATGTTATTTGTCAGAGACTCAGAGCTAAAACTTTAAAAAAGAGTAATCACGGCGTGTAGTTTAAACAATAAAAAAGAAAGGCGTCAACAGGTGCAGGAGACTCCATGTGTGTTGGAACTTCCATAAATAGGCAACGCAAATTACAGAGAATTTTTAATAATAATGAAAACAAAGAAAGGAAAAGGATGCCGCTATTCAAAGTTTGAGATAAAGAGAAAATTCCTTGAACAGCGATCTCTTGCATTTCACACAACTCTTTTCGTAGCCTCGAAGGTAAAACTTTATGCATGAAATTATTTCCTCGTGGGTACAACTTTATGTTTCAGAATATTAAACTATTGGATTGTAATTTGACCGCTAAGTTTTAAATTTAAAACTCCATTTGAAGGAGGAAAAGCTCAGTATGACTAGGAGCTTCATATTTCACTCACGAAATGGGAATTGGAGAAGAAATAGAATCAAAGACGACTGTTGAAATCTTAAAACTAATTAGAAGAATCAGTATACCTCTCAAAGCAGCCTCCAATGATTTTACATTCTCAGCATCGACTTCAACAAATCGAGAGTTTCTCCCAACTGTCGCAACCATAGCAGCACCTTTTTCCGTTTCACAGCACGCCGCACCTTATATCATTATGCATCACAATTTAGAAAAGGCTCGAAATCCACTGATTACCAATCGGTAATCAACAGTTTAGTTTCATAATGAAAAAGGATCTAAACGAGAGAACACACCGGATAAACCAACTTTAAGGAATAACTTAGAGATACAGAAATGAAAAGAATCGAAATAAGTCAAATTCAAATCTACCTACAAATGAAACTCGCCGAATTAAAATAAACACAGAAGAATCACCTGTTGCGACCGCCCATGACGATCTGAAGGTCGTGACAGAACTTGAAGGGAGCAATGGCAATGGAGGTTCCGACCCGACCGGTGCCTCCGAGTACCAAAACCCTAGAATTGCAATCATTCTGAGGCAATTGAACCAGAAGTTCAGTATCGGCATTGATCATGGCCATCGGAGAAAAGCTTTTCAAAGATCCCGCCATTGTTTGCCGCTCTTCTCCGCACCAGCAAGTTCCCTGTAATAACAGTTCCTCTTCAATCCCATTATCAGTTTATCATCCTGCTGACGTGGCATCGCCCCTTCATCCAAACAAGTCAACAAAATTACCATGGGGCTGTCACCTTTAAACTTTTGAATTTATTTAAATTGATAAATATTCAAAATGCTTTCCCAACGTACATTTATCCAATTATTTCTTCCATTTCCAATAATTTTAACAATATATATATGCATCCATCTATTTTCCTCTGAGGCTGTTACCCAGCAAGGATGACCGTGGTCCCCCATCCACGGTGGACATATTTGGCGGTGTTGATATGGACACGTAAGATAGGCTGGATGGATGGTCACATCTGGCTTGATGACATTGTTGAGCATTTCACCGTCACCCACCTGTTACCTTAACAGTCCCTCATTATCAAAACATTAGTTTGAACAATTAAAACCATATAAAACAAAAGAAAATACAATAGTAAATAATTGTAAATAGAACAAAATAATTCATTATCTAATTATTTATTCTCTCGAAAAAAAAAATAAGTGGCCTATTTTAATTTCAGTTTTAAATTTTTTTAGTAAAATATAAATTAGATTTATAAGTTTATATACCAAATATTAGTGCTAAATATATAATTTAACATTTTTTTAAATAAAACTGGAGTGCTACCTAAATTCAACAAGAATAATAAATATTTAAAACAAAATTCATCCTATTTTAAATTATTTGATATTTAAAAATAAACTGTCACGTGCGAAAATTATAAAGTCACAGCTGGCTTTTGGTTGAAAGGAATGGAGATAGTGAAATAAATAAAGAAATAAATGAATAAAAAGGTGCATTAGGTAAGATTCACCTTCTATGTTTCTGTGGGTCCATGTTGACTGTCCAAATGTGACTTAATTATAAATTTTAATTATAGCTCTTTCCTTAAATAATAAATACAATTTCCTTTCCCCAAAGTAACAACTGGGTTTATTCTATAGAAAATATTTAAATTCTTATTCAAATTATTAAATCAAAACATAAAATAATAAACTTAGGTTATATCTTATATGTGAAAATAATATGTTAAGTGGTTATTTTTTATTTTTTATTTTTTATTTTATCTCGAATTAAACGTGTAAATAATGTATTAAAATCAGTAATTAATTATTTAATTAACTAATTAAATAAATAAAGGTCAAAGATGCGAGTTGTGACAATGGAAATTAGTCACCGCCATAAATATGCTTATGAAAGAGACGTAAGAGCAAAGAAAAGCAGCCACAAACATCTCTCTCTCTCTCTCTCTCTCTCTCTCTTTTGACCAAAAGTTTTGGAACTTTCATTGGTCGGAAATATCCCTTTTTAAGTCAAGATTTAACATTAAATTAAACTAAACAACTCTTAATCTCCTTTTCATGGTTGAAATTTAGTTGTTTAATTTACTAACTGTCAAAGTTAATTAATGGTTTTATTTAAATCACCTTTTAATCTATATTATAAAGCAACCTAATAAATTTAATAATAATTTTATATACACAAATATAATATAATGTCATCCAACATAATTTAAAATTTTCATAAGTTATATTTTAAAATTGCTAAGTTTTTTGTTATTAATTAATTGTTTTATTTATTTTAACGTAAATGACAAAATAAAGTAGTAATGAAAAATCAAAAGCATTGTAATATGAAAACTAAATTCAAAATTCAAAATAAAAATGTTTTTGAAACATCGAATAAAAACTGCTTTTTATCAACATATTAAATCATGGTTTTAGTTGGTGACAGTCGGCTCCATCGAAACCAACTAACCCAAAAGCCTACCGTACGATCCTTCATTATTGAATCTGGACGGCTGGGATTTCTTTGCCAACTCAATGCTTTCGCGTTCCCGCACCAACTTCGAGACGCACTTTTGTCTCATTTTTCGTGATTTAGCTCCTTAAGTGCGAATCAAAGGCACCCCTTCATTTTATATCGTAGATTAATTACACCAATTAGTTCCATCTAATATTTTAAAAAATATTTGTACTGGACCAAACATAATCTAACACAAAATTCATTTTTGCGAGATCTTTTATTGATTGGAGAGGGAAATAAAAATTTCGTATAATAGTGTAGAAATCACTCTCCTATATACGCATTTTACAAAGCACAATGTTACTGATGATATATAACGGGCCAAAGTGAACAATATCTATTAGCATGTGGCTTGAGTGGTTACAAATGATATCATATCTAGTCACTAAACGCTATGAGACACTAGTCGGACAAAGGCTAAATAGTAAACACGTGTAAAAATCGTGAAGTTGATTACTATACGTAATGGGTTAAAACGGATAATATCTACTGACGAAAACTTGAGCTGTTACAAATGTTATCAAAGTTAGACACTAGCCGATGTGTTACAACTTGTGTCAGAGGTAGACACCATGTAGTGTGTCAACAAATATGCTAGAGTCATTGTCCTCTACATGATGATATATAAAGAAGCACTTACAAATTTAGTTCGATCACAAAATTTCTACAGTAATTATCATTTTAATTTCAAGAAGAAATATATTTGACCTCGTCGCCAAATTTAGAAAACAAATATTATATATACTTTTTGTATAGTTTTCATAAGTAGAAGCAATATTTATAGTTTTTTTTTTTTTTTTTTGAAATTAAATAGTTATCCTAATTCTTTTATTTTTATAATTTTCGATATAAAAAATTAAACTTATAAACGTAAAAGTAACATCGTTCATTTTTTAAAAATAAATTTAAAATCAAAAGCAAAAAATTTGAAACACAAAAAGAAGTTGGTAGTTGAAAACTTTAGCCAAAGAATTGAATGCAATTTTTAAGAAACGTGAAAAATATGCCAAAGAAATTAAACAAGATCATTCCTAAACTTCACTTTTTAAAAATGGGGTAAATTAAAAAAAAAGAAAAGAAGAGGTAATAGTAAATATTAGTTGTTAAAATTCGCATATAAGGTAAAAATTAAAAAGTAAAAATAAAAGAATTAAGAGAAATTAGTACAAAATTTAAAATTAAATTTAAAAATGCAACGGTTGGGGTTAGGGAATGCCATGCCAACTCATCATTTAGAGTAAATAAAAAAAAAAGGGAGAGTGAGGGTTAAAAAGGTCAATTAGTTTTATTGGAAGACTAAAAAAACAGTTGGTAAAATAGGTGGGAGTGCAAGACAGCAGAGCCAGGCACGTAAATTACAACGACGTGCATTATTATTATTATTATTATTATTATTATTATTATTTTGTCAGAAGTGAAATGGTAAATTTATTTTTTTAATTTATTTTTGTTTTAATTTTTGGAATTGGTAAGAAACTATTATAAATTATTTACGAGATTTTAACTTTAAAATTTTAAAATTATAGAAATTTAATTTAGAATTTAATTTTTTTATAGAAATCTTGGCGTTGGAAAAGGCAAGGGTAGAGCGCAGTACAGAATTAGTTGCTTTTTCTGCCACACACAGCTGGTCATTAGCGTGAAACAGCTGGCAGTACGGCGTCGTTCCTCCAAATACGCAGCTACCGTCGCCGATTCTCCCCTCTTCCATTTTCCTCCCCTTAACTTTCTCTATTTCTATTTTCCTCCCCAGCTGGTTATTAGCGTGAAACAGTTGGCAGTACGGCGTCGCATCCTCCAAATAAGCAGCTACCGTCTCCGCTTTCGCTTTTTTGATTTTCCTCCCCTTAACTTTCTTTATTTATATTTCCCTCCCCCAGCAACTTTCCCTTTCTTTCCCCATCCTGCCCCTCCCCATCTCCACATTTTCCCCTTTTTTTCTTTATTAAGTCAATTTGTTTGGACCTTTGACATTTAAAAAATTCTCAATTATAATTCCATTATTATTATTATTATTATTATATGGGTAGAGAGAGAATCAGTGCCATCAATTTGCTTCCATGGCTAACCTCTTCGGTCTATATTATTATTATTTTTATTATTACTGCACCTGATTTTATAGGCCAGAACCCACTAAAGGAAAAAAAAAAAAACTTTAATTTTTAATTTTTCAATTTTTTAAAAATAATATATGAATGAATATATAAAAATTTAAATAAAGGGAGGTGACTTTTAAGAAAAAAAAAGGGCAAAATGGTAATTATATAATAAATCAGGGGCACTTGTGGAAATGGCTGGGGATGGATGGGGACAAAGATTACAAGGGGGAAAATGGAAAAGTCGGCAAATATAAATAAAACAAGAACTTTTTTTTTTTTTTTTAATGAAAAAAGAAAGGGCACGGTGAAAAATCGCCGCGGAATTTTGTTGTAATAGAATTTAGTAATTTCCAGATATTTTAGGGGTAAAATGGTCATTTTGATCACTCTATAAGTATTTGACCATCCACATTCCTATGCTTCTTCTGCTAGCAATTTGCGAAGTCTCTTGCAAACCCATCCCCTCGCGTCTGGTTCGGTTGTCGGAGTGTTGTTGAACCTCCTTCTCCGTTTTTCTTGGTGGCGACCGGTTTGTGAGGTTGGATTAGAAGATGCTGGAGAGGCCTCTGGTGGCGCCGGTGTACGGGAAGTGGTGAGATGTGGTTTTAACGACGTTATTGCGGCGAGGATTTTACGGGAGGGGGAGTGAATCGAATGCGGAGTGCATGTTCCGACGGTGTTTCTTTGTTGGAATGAGTTGTAGGAGAGGAGATTGCGGTGGAGTTTTTGGACGGAGTGAGTGATCGTGGAGGGACATGGGGAGAGTAGTAGTGGGAGTGGCTGTGAGTGTTGCCGTGGTGGCGTGTATAGTGGCCGCCGGGGTGGTTGGTCGGAGAGTGCAGAACAGAGGGAAATGGAGGAGAGTGGTTAGGGTTTTAAAAGAGCTGGAGGAGGATTGTGAGACTTCTGTCGGGAGGCTGAAGCAGGTGGTCGACGCCATGGCTGTGGAGATGCACGCTGGTTTGGCTTCGGAAGGAGGTTCCAAACTCAAAATGCTCCTTACCTTCGTTGATAATCTTCCTGACGGGTAATCTTCTATTTCCATGGGGTTCATGGGGTTTTATCGCTTATTATTGATCAGCGAGGCCAGTCTGTGGTTGTCTTCAGAATATTAGTGTTCAGGAGTAATTAAGCCCCTTAGTTTTTTGTTCATCTGTGATG